CTTCATTTCTCCATCTTTCTCAGACACTTCATCAGTTACTTCCTTCATGCCTTCATCCTTTGATGCTTCAGATGCCATAACTGTCATTTCCACATCTTCTATTTTGGCACCAGTTTTCTCTCTAAACTACACGATGTCGCTTCTAATCTTCTTTTCCTTCACATCTATCCGTGGGAGTTGCTGCTGTAGCTTTACTTGTGAGGCTTTTATTTCTTCTCGACACGATTTTATTTCATTCGTTATTTCTTCTTATCCAGCAATCATCTCTTCATATTGAACTTTCATCGCAGCCTTCATCTGTTTATATCCGTGTTTAATCTCTTTCAGTCCAGCCAGTCTGGCTGCTAACAAGTTCATAAAATCCTTATTTCCTCCGCCATGGCTGCCTCCTACAGGAGGATAACTGGCATTCACTTACAAATCCCACTTCTGACACCAGCTGTTGTGTTCTACAGGTTCGTGGATTTGGAGTGATTAATGACAACACTTGATGAAGAATCAAAACATAATTTACTCGTCATTATTACACAGTACAGTTCCAAAGACATGTTTACAGTCGTCTAAAAACTACGATAAACACGCTGAAGCAATCAGCAACACAGCTTTCGGGCTATCAGACTATAACGGCGAGAGCAGCTTCACGGCAAAGAACTAAAGTACAGCTTCCTGCTCGGTCGATCGCTCTCGAGCTAATCTCTGAACTCGAGACACTACTACTAAACTCAACATACTCTCAAGATACTCTTCATGATAAACTCAAGATACATTACTACTCCGCGTACAGGCAGGGTATTTACAGCTTTTGACCTGTCTTCGGGAACATTCTGAAACCCGTAATAATTCGTTCTAGAATGCTCTCGCTCCGTCTATGGCATATCGCCAATTTTGTCTTCAAACGGGAGATTTCTCAACAAATCTGGCAACCCTGCCTTTCCTTGCCATTTTCTTGTAACCCTAAACCCACTATGTGGGAAAGCTATCATACTGCTGCAGGGCAGTTTGTAATATTTTATTTCATGTTCACCGTTACCTGTTTAAATTAGAAGTGTTGGCTTTGTGTAATCCCAAGTGGGGCCATTTATTGAATTATATTGAATTAATAAAGGGTTCTTTACACCCTTGTTGTGACGTTCTCTTGTACTTAAAGATCTGAGAATAATTCCTCTTACAGTCTTTTAGAGCTCTTTAGTTTATGCTGCCAAAGAGAACCAGACTCTATAACTTCTTACAAAAGTGTTTCGCTATTCCACCTGGGCTATCTCTATTAAAACCCTGCTAATAAACCATCTCAAACTTTAAAAATCCCTTTCGGGAGATAGTTAAAATCTTATTATTATTATTTTTTTTGAATAGTTTAGTAACCTTAGTTATTATACGCGCGAGAACTTCCAAGTTTTCATATTTCCAGGCTGACAGTTTTAAATATGTAATTTAAGCGAGAAGATGATTATGCAAATATTTTTGTAAACATTTAAAATTTATTATTATTAGTTTAGAAAGCCTTAATCCTAATTTTATTATGCCAATTATTATTATTAGTTAAGAAAATCTTATTCTCTACGTATATTATAAGAATACAACATGACAGAGAGGCTGTTCAACTATCGATTTAGTATCATTCGTTTATTCGTGCAGCACATTTAAAAGACAATAAATGTCCGAAATTTTCAAGGCTCTTTCTCTCTATGTATTCCAAAAATTCTAACTTCTATTCCCAATAGTCCTTTAATTTTTATTAGCCCAAGTGGGCTATTAGTCTGGAAACGGGATTTTCCTTTGAAACACTGTAAACGGCATATCACTTTCCAAACTGTTGCAACCGTGTATTATCGTCTAGTATTATTTTTAAAGAAATTATGTAACGAAGAAATCTGCATGAATGTATGCATGCTTCTCTCGCAGTGTGAAAAACAATGGTACCTAGAGCTTCAAAATTCTGAATAACGTAGTCCTCCACCAGAACATGGGCACCTGGCAGCCTAAATTTTGTATTTGCTTTGTTATTTATTTCATATTTCCCAAAACTTTAATGAATTTTTGATTAACAGAATATACTACGTGAAAGCGAGCAGTGGCAACACTGTCTGAAATAAAACAGTTTTCGAAATAAAAAAAATCTGATGTGTACACCACATGACTTCCTTGTACGGAATATTAAATTATACGCATTTTTTCTTGCATTTCATTTAAACTTATTAGATTGAATTAAATCTACTTCGTCGACAGCGCATAAACCACAATAGAATAAATGCATTCTTTAAAATTCACTTTGTTTACCATAGCGATACTCTGGCGCTAGGTTCAATTAATAGTATTATATTTCGTTCATATTATAACTCAGAATGCACAAAATTTATATCATTTAAAGAATAGAATTATCTAATCGTTGCCACATGTTCTATTCAAATACTATAATAAAGCTACAATGATGTATAAAAGAAATTAAGCAAACAAAAAAAAAAAAAAAAGAAACAGTTTTTCACAGACGATTGAGTATTTCTCATTCAATCAATTCAGTTCTCACTTCGCGAGAAGGCAAAAATACATAAAAACTCAAAATATCTATATTAAAAATTACGAAGTATATCTTAAACACTTATTTCCTCGAAAAATTTCCAGAAAGGATTAATTATGATTTAATTGGCAGTAATAAATGAAGGCGTTTCAAATATAAACAAACAATGGCCGCCATCAAGAGAAGTATTAGGCTTAGCGGTACTTAAACAACTTTAAAATTGTTGATAATTCTAAAAATATTGCATACAGATTTACTAAAGGCATAAAACCCTTAACCGGAAGATAAAACAACATAATTCAATCATTTTTAAAGCAAAAAATGTACAATTTACAAACATATAAGAGTAAAGAAACTGAGATCACTGAGCCGGGTAATAGAGTGGATGTATATATAAATATATTTATATACGTTTGGTGTGGCCGATTGCAACCAAAATACGAGGTGCACATCTACATGTTATAGCAGTCCTATATACAAAATTTCAACGTTCTGAGGCTACGCATTTTTGAGTTATGCGAGATACGTTCATACAGACGCCACGAAAAATTCTCTTCAGAATTAATTTTAAAGCAGTTTTATAATTTTTTTGAAGGAAAAGAGTATTTTATTCTGTCCTTACGTACAGATATCACGCAAAAACATCGTTAAATTGCATTCGATTGCAGTCAAAATGGATATTTTCGTTTAAATATGCTGCCTGAAACTTTTTGCGATTACAATACTTCCTTTTTACTTCGCATAAAGAAGTAAAAAGGCTAGTTTCTAAAAGCTATTACAGCGAATATTAAAAAAATATATAAAAATTTGAAAGCTTTCAGATTATACATTACACCCAAAGAGACTTTTTTTTTAACGTTTTGTAGTTCAACAGTAATATCGCAAAATAATTTTAAATCAGCATATCTTTAGAATTTTCGATACACAGTCGCTCGCGATGGAAATAAAAATGTTTTTCTCCCGTGCAATGTTGCCATTGCTCTATTTAAAATTGTTGAGTTCGTAAATCAAAATTTCCTTAAAGTTTTACAAAATATGAAATAGATAATAAAAGAAATTCCATATTCAAAATTTTGGCTTCCAGATGCCCATATTCGGGTGGAGACGTACGTTATTCAAAATTTGATGGCCTTAGGAACCGTTGTTTTATCACAAGTGAGAAAAATACATACATTTATGCAGATTCTTCACTATTTAATTTCTGTAAATATAACACAGGGCTCTAATATTTGGCGGGAAGAATTTGAAAAGTGAACCGAAATTTACAGTGAACCAACGCAAAATACCAAAACGAAATTAAGAGCCTTTCTGAGCTAATGCCCTTTGGGCTAATTATACATAAACTCGTTTATAAAAAAAATTAATTGTTTATATATTATTAAAGGCATAAAGTAAGAAATTTAGAAGTAATAATTCACAAAAACCATAAATTGAAATTCATAATTAATTAATTTTAAACAGTCATATAAATGCAATAAAGAATTTAAAAATGTTAAAACCAAAGCATTTCAGACAAGCAAAAATTAATTAAATTTGAAGAAAAACGAACAAAAAATAGAAGAGGAATTCAATCAATCTTAATGCCACTTCATCAGGGGAGGGACAAACATTGAAATTAATTGAAATCTCTCTTCTACAAAAATCCTTGTTTTTCTATATCCAGAATTAGCCGATGAACCATTTCAATGTATTTTAATTGTAATAGTTCACCCAAAAATTCTGGTCCTTCCCCAAAGCAAGGAAAAAACAAAGCAAATTCTAACTCTTTTAACAAAAAAGAATTCTATTTCATTAAAAGAATTTAAAACGAAAATGAATATATATATATATATGAAATGTAATTTCTCATACATTATTTGTTTTGTGCAGCCGGGGCAACAGGAATGAGACAAATTTTGGAATATAAAGTGGTAGGTTTATTTTAGCATCCATCTCACAAGCGTTTCTCTTCGTACCTTGAGCAGAAGCCCTATTTATCCCCTATGTGTGCGTCACGAGGCTCATCCAATCAGCGATATTAATTGAAATCACGAGGTTAGAGCTACTAGAGATACCCTTTATAGTAGCCTTACACGAGGTGACGCTATCTTCTCATCAGGAGTCTTCTTAATCCCGCTTTTCCCCATATATTTTCCTCTTATCCTTAGCTGCGATTCTTCACATGATATTTACTTCCGTTGACATAATAAAATATCGCCCACGTCGTTAAAGGAGCCAAATTGGCGCCATCAAGGCTGTTCTCTGTAGAATATCCCACCCTCACAATTGTCAACGAAAGGTGATAACAAGAAAAAAAAAATGTTTTCATGTTTTTCCTCGTGCTTAACGTGTATGATAGATTGCCTCAGAATGTTACACATAAAGATACTCTTACCCTAGCTCATCCTAGCTAGTTAGCCTAAGTACGTTTTGGCATATTATTATAACATAAAAAATATTTCTCCTGTAGTAAACAAATCCATTTAACTGTAACCATAACCATAATTGTAAAATTGCCAATATGGCGGCTACCAGTAAGTCGAGATGTATTTACGGGCTATGTTTTTTTATGTAATAATACAAATATATTTGATTGAAAATTAAATGAAAAAGTGATATTTATAAAACTTTTCTTACTGATAAAGTTTATAAGTAATCGAATCTAATTCTGAGCTGCTTATATATCTTTCATTGGGTGTTTACCTGTTATATGTTTTGATCTTGATAATCGTACATGTATACGATATTAACTCTCGCAACCAATAAATCAGTTTTCTTAAAGATTTTTTTAAAGAATTAAGCATAGTAGCTACAAGTTTACTTGAGTATGGTGAAATAAACCTTTCAATAACCTTCATATGTCAAATCCTTATAACCTTTAGGGGGGATGTGAGGTAAACTTATAATGAAAATTTATTATACAAGAAGTAAATAGGTAGAGATAAAAAATTTTTTCTTTTCTTGTGGAATCAGTAAAATATATTGTTTCGGGCTCAGTTTTTTCGGAGGCTGTATTGCGTGTATTCTTGTTATATCACCAGTCGACCATCTAACACCAAAGAGATGGGATTACGTAATTATTTTTTTATTTATTTTTCCCACCTGCAGTCTTTTTAATGGATGTAAAATTCTGAATAGGAAAATAGTATTAATACAGTATGAAATTTATATCGTTCAAAGAATGCCTTAAAAGTAACATAAATCGAATAAATATTTAAATGAAATAGTTTCATAATGGTTGTTGTAAAAATACCGTTTATCATTACTTTAATTTTTAAACAGTGAAATTCTTGGTGTAATTTTATACTTTTTAATGTGTTATATGAATAATTTATTAAATAATCTATTTATGTAATGTAGGACAGCAATTATACAAAATTTAATTTTGACTGGGCTGTTGGTAATTCATTTTAATTATTTAATATTTTCTTTTTTAAACATTAAAAATAGCCTAGGGTAGCGTGCAGTTTGTTTTGTCCTTCCCTCAGCAAAGTTAAAGCTTGTGTAAGCTTTAACTTTTATACTTTTACACAAAAAGTTAAAGCTTGTGTAAGCTTTAACTTTTTGTGTAAGCTTTTGTTCCATGAGTTTTGCTTATTTTAAATTTGTATTTCCTAGATAAACTTTTAATTTGAAGACAATAAGTATTGTGCAGTCTTTGTTGGAAATATATAAATCAGAAGTTATTTCATTTATAAGTCTGTTCCTTATCTCAGAGTTGTTATAAGTCTTATATATTTATCAGTATAAATTTTAAAATGTACTGTTATTAATTAGTGGGAACTAAATTATATGTATTTTACAGTTTTGGCAAAAGGAAGGTTCGGGCAGAGTATAGTCTCAAAAGTTTTCGTGCAGAATAGTGCAAGAGCACAAAGTACTGTCCCTCAGACGCAAGAGAATGTTCCAGTTAAAAGAAAGCCATATTCTCCTTTCCAAAATACTACTGGTAAATTTGAGTATGCAATGGCTCGTGTTGATGATCTTCTCAACTGGGCAAGAAAGGTTTGTCATGAAACTCAAAGAATTTTTCTCATTTGGAAATTATTTTTTATTTATACTTTCAGTTCTTTAAAATTGTATTATTATCAAAGCAGGACTTGCAATTTGTATATTTTTTAAATGTTAGTTGAATTATTGTAAATTCTAACAAAATTTAATCCTAGTAAATTAGTGAATTTAATTCTGTTCCTTGTAGTATGCACGCTTTACTTCATTTTTAACCTTTCTTTAAATAGGTAAAAAAAGTCTGTGAAATCATATAAACGATTAAAACTTTTTGTAAAATTTTTAAATCGGTCAGTTTTGAAATAAATGTGGGCTAATCTTTGGAATATGGTAACAGGTAGTTTGGCGACATTTTAGTAAGGTGATAAAGGTTACTAGCTAGGAATTTAGCAGTGTACATGGATAAAGTCAAGAGTGTGCGCAATGCCATTTTTGTGAAAATCTGGGATGCTTTTTTAAGTGAAAATGGGTCGACGTGTATATGGTTACCGTGTATGTGAAATTCTTAAAAACGCGGCAAGCAGTTTGCGATTCTGCACTTTCTCCCAATTTCGCACCTAATCTTCATCATGATTAAGCACTTTTGTTCCATAAAAGTTCCAGCATAAGTAAAATTTTTAAATCGGTCAGTTTTGAAATAAATGTGGGCTAATCTTTGGAATATGGTAACAGGTAGTTTGGCGACATTTTAGTAAGGTGATAAAGGTTACTAGCTAGGAATTTAGCAGTGTACATGGATAAAGTCAAGAGTGTGCGCAATGCCATTTTTGTGAAAATCTGGGATGCTTTTTTAAGTGAAAATGGGTCGACGTGTATATGGTTACCGTGTATGTGAAATTCTTAAAAACGTGGCAAGCAGTTTGCGATTCTGCACTTTCTCCCAATTTCGCACCTAATCTTCATCATGATTAAGCACTTTTGTTCCATAAAAGTTCTGTTAAATAGAAGTTTCGGCACCAAGGTTAAATAGCTTTACTTCAAGGTACCATTGTTAAATAAGAAACTACTTGCCATGAAAGGTTTCTACTTCCTCTTAGGGAGGAAACTAAACTCTTAAGAATTTTTGCTAATTACCCAAACTTTTAGTGATCGTATAGTGAAACGGTAAAGCATTTTGCGTTGTGAAAAAATGCATCCCGGGACCGCGCCGTGAGAGGATCGAAAACATAGGAAAAACATATTAAATATATAAAAAAAACATACTGTAATAGGTTTCCAGATTAAATATCCGTTTATTCAATTACATCACAATAAAAAAAAATCTTAACCTCATCTGAGAGTCTAAGGAGAAGTCATCAATTTGTCATTTACCCTTTTTTTTTCATTTAAATTCATATATAAAAAAAACTTAAGGTTTGTCTGGTAATTTAAAAGGGGAAAGGGAAACAATTTAAGGCCTGAGAATTAATTTAAGATTCGACGTTGTTTTTACATTCTAAGAAAAGTTATTGAAAACTTACTTAAAGTTCAAACACAAAAAAATAGAACTTAACTTGGGTGGACATCTTGAAGTGGAGGACTCGTATCCTAATAAGCGTTGACGTCGGCGGGGCTCATCTTTACACTGGTTCTCATAATGTCGACATTATTTTACCTCTGTAGAACAGAAACAGGAGCACTGCTGCCCAGCACAGCTATCCGCTTGGTCTTGAAAGTCTTAAGTCAACACGCAGGTAACTGGTTTTCATAATGACGAAGCATTTTTTTAAGTCTGTAAAACAGAAACAGGAGCACTGCTATCCGCTTGGTCTTGAAAGTCTTAAGTCAACACGCAGGTAGCTGGTTCATAATGACGAAGCATTTTTTTTCAAGTCTGTAAAACAGAAACAGGAGCACTGCTATCCGCTTGGTCTTGAAAGTCTTAAGTCAACACGCAGGTGACTGGTTCATAATTTCGCCTTTTTACCAGAACGCGGCAAGGGAGCGTGTTTGCAGCTTCCGGCCAGAAAAGTTTTTCTAGGCAATTATGGCTCGCCTGTTCTTGCTCATCCCAAGAGCAAGCTTCACGAGTAACGTCCAAAGTAAGTTCCACACGCCAGTCAGTAAGTCTCGCCTCTTAACCAAAACGCGGCCGGGGAGCATATTTGCCGCTCCCCACCGGAAAACATCTCCCTCCGTAAACTACATCCCTTCCACCGCCTTCAAGCAAGCCTCAAGAGCAACGTCCAAAAGTCCAGCAAGCCCGTCAGTCGGTGATCCCAACTCGAATTTCCTTCGTCTCCTTCACAAACGCGGGCTCCCACTATGGCTTCACTTATCGCCCCCTTAATTTTGGCAAAATTTTTGTTTTCAACCCCTGAATGCGGAAATAAGGGTGATCGCGCATGCGCGCCCTTCTTCACTTAGCCAACAACCGGACCCTCAATCGCCAAAAACCTGAATGACTTACGTTGAAAGACAAGTAGCAACCTTTGACCTTTCTGTCACGTACTTCCTCTCTTAAGGTCAACTAACAATGAAAATCCTTCTAGAACATTCTAAAGGACAAAGCGCGCGAAATTATGACTTGGCAAAAAAATTGCTTCCCTTTCCCTGCTTCTTTCACAATGAATCAAAGCTTGTACAAAATTTGCAAATAAAAGAAAATAAATAATATTCTTTTAAACTAAATAATATTCCCAGAAGCATCTGTTTTTCCCCAAAATTAAAGCCTTAAAATAAATAATTCAGAATCAAATAAAATTAAAATTTCCATAAATCAGAAAATCATTCACCTAGTTTTTATACCGCTATCAGACAAATTCTCTACACAACAGTTCTAGCATAAGTGTAATTCGGCTAGCAGATTGATGGGGAAAAAAATGTTGATTTAAAAAAAAAAAAAAAAAAAAAAAAAACTTGCCTTTACTTCGTGAAAACAAAATGGCGTCCAAACAAAAACATGCAGGTTGCTGTAGCAGGGTTGGTCGCCAAAAAATCGCCAAGTTACAATAATACAAAGATTAACCTAAATGTGTACTTTACTTGATTAATTAAGTGGTTAAGAATGTCATTCTGAATAGTGATCGATTTGTTGATTATTTTGAAGGATTTGAGCCTAATGAGAGATATTTTGGGAAAAGTTTATGTGGAAATTTTGCTTGTATTCATGTTGCAGTTGGTGAAAGTCTGTGATGCTATGAATCAAACAGAGTACGAAATTGCCAATGTGGGTGATTTTAGTTAATTGGTCACAAGTTAGCACTTACTTGGAGAAGAACACATTTCAAAAATTATGAAAAATCTCCATTGTCAAAGAAAATTTAATACTGAATTTACTTCTCAATTTACAGATTAAAAATTTCTTTATTCTTTTCCATTTCATTAATTCTGGAGATGAATCATTTCCAGTATTAATACTGTCAGAAACAAGCACCTTTTTTTTAGTAAAAAAAAAAAAAAAGTAGAAAAAATTTTTTTTTTTTTTTTTTTTTTTTTTTTTTTAAATTCATATATAGAAATAATTATATGAAAAATGATAGGCACTGATACTTCTGAAAAGTTTTATTTTTCTGCCAACATTTTAAATGCTATCAGAGAGGCATTGTGACAATTATAAGGCATTCTGAAGTTTTTTTTTTATATATAGTATATATATATAAATCTAAATTTTAATGCTTCCATTTAATTAATTATACTTTAAATGCTGAAAAAATATGAAAATATAAAAAACATGTAATTTTCTGAAAATAAACTGTGAAAATTAAAGTTTTCTTTTTCAGAACTCACTGTGGCCAATGACTTTTGGACTTGCTTGTTGTGCTGTAGAAATGATGCATATGGCAGCCCCACGTTATGATATGGACAGATTTGGTGTAGTTTTTAGAGCCAGTCCAAGACAGTCCGATGTGATTATTGTTGCTGGAACGCTTACAAACAAAATGGCTCCTGCGTTAAGAAAGGTTAGTATATATGAATTTTTAATATCATCTTTTAAATGATATATGGAATTTATTGAAATAAATTTGAGTATTTATCTGTTTCTCATTAACTGCAAGGATTGTGTCTCATCGTCATGAAAGCTGGCAGAGATCCTGCCAAACTTGTGCCATTCATTTAAGCTTAATTTTGCAGGAAGCAGACAATTCTTTATTTAGTTAGATAATAACATATTTCTATTTATTCAATTACATTATCAAAAGGTACAAATTATAGATACAGTATATAAAAAGAAAATACTTTCACAACCCCTTTTGAGAAGTTGTCAATTGATTGGCAGCAAATTTTTCACCATGCTAAAGGCAACAGCATTTTGAAAAATGGTGGCTCACTACGACTTCCATAAAAGAACAATAAATCAATAAAATTTAAAAAGCAAGAAACATCTAAAATAAAATATTTACATTTTTCAAGAAATCCTTATGTAAATTTCAATATGCTATTGTTCTTAGTACAACAATCTGTTTTCCCTTAAAAAATATCAGAGAATTACACAAATTTGGTATTTGTGCATGGTGTTTTTCTCCACATGTACTCAGTGATCTGTTTTCGCTTTAAAAGAAAAAGAAAGAAAAAAAAAAAAAAACAAAAAACAGTAAACTGCAAAAAATTTGGGGTATCGCATATAAATTTTAATCTGTAAACCGTACAGCAATTAAGATGCTTTGTTTAGAAAGTACAGTTTCATGGAATGCAAATTTTTGCATTCTATGCATTCTCTGCCAAACAAAATATTGGATAGAATGTTAGATTTCTAAAGAAATGCAAGCTGATAAACTGCACAATCCCATTACTATTCCTTTCAAGGAAGAAAAATATATGATACTTGTGTATTATCCCATTGACTGTGAAAGTTGGCTACTATTGAACCATGACAGCTAGCTGAGACTAAAATGGTTGCAGCAGTTGATCCTAATAAATTCTGAAGGAACTGATCTACCTTATTTAATATAGAGTCAGTATTCGACCATCTTTATTTTTGTGCTTCTTTAAAAAGGCTTCTATTGGTTTTTGCTGTTTTATTAGACCCTCTAATTTCACCAGAAGCACTGTTCAGAATGCTATTAGCAACAATTTCCCATGTCTAATTAATTCACTGACTTTATGTTTTTCAGCCATAACTAGCAGACCGTATTGTGTGCATTAATATGTACATTTTTATGGTAAAATCTCATGGCTTTAAAAATAATCCACTGTTTTCTGTTTTGCAGAAGGTAGGTCCCAAATTTGAATATTTTTTTTCAAATGCAAAGAAAAAATACAGCGATAACTGTTAATGGTACTTTTCCGTTTGCTGGCGCAAGCGATAAAGTCGCCGAAAATGTACTACCGATGCCAAACGGAATATCCTCACTGGTAACCTTTTATGCCTCATTTTCAAAACAAGTTGCAGCCATTTCTTATCAGATTGTTTCTTTCAATACTGGCATAAAATTGCATAGAATTTTTACCAGATAATTCAATTTTATACCCTATGGCCATTCGCGATAGTTAAGTCAATTAGGATGCAATCACACCGCTCATCCGAAGGCGAAAATACAGAAAAGGCAAAGTGAATTGTTAAATTCATCAGTTCTAATGCGAATGCACTAGCGAAGTAAAGAACTGCAGTTTTACATAATTTTTTAGTAAGGCATTCATACGAATAAAAATGATTCTTGCATTTAAACTTCTATTCCATATTAAGATTTAACTTGAAATTAATGTAGAATGAACTAATAACTGGATAACTTGAAATTAATGAGAGAATTAGATTTTTGTAGCTTAGTTTATGTGAGATGAGATCACTTGGAGTCATGTGATATGAACTGGTGATTCAGGATGCTGTACCATGAAAGCATAGTAAATTCTTAAATTAATTTTGTTTTACAAATTTATTGTCTTTATTTATTGCCTTTTTACAAAATTTTAAACGATATTAAAATGTTTATGCCTTCAAAATAAAAAATTCTTAGAACTAACATTTGTTAATATGTTTTATGTGTATGCCGTGTGCTGTCGCCAATAAAGTCTGCTTGGCGAGATTTGCACCGGCAAAATGAAAAAGTACCCAGTTAATTTTATATTCTTGTTCATAAAAACAAAATGTAGCTTTTCAACAAATAATGGGGTTACATCAATCAAAGCACACACATTTTAAGTGTGCCGTTACATCATGTTTATCCATGACTGGCACTAAATTGTGCTGCTTCGCAAGATTTTCATGGTCAATTTATCATGATAATACATAAATATCAAATGTACTTAATGTAGAAACACAAATTTAAAAAAAAATGATTGTTCAAGTTGTAAATAAAAATTTGCACTGGTCTGCTGTGGGTCTTGCATATTTGGGTTCCTGAAGTGCATTATGGTGATGTGATGGATTTTTCTATTTTGGCAATAACTGCTTGATAATTAATTGGTTTTCAGGAGGATACAGATTATCAGAAAGAACTAAAGGAATTAAATGAATATGATCTCAAGCTTTGAAGCTATCTGACAATGAATTCAAACTTTTCAGTTTATTAAAACTTATACCAGTCATTCTAGCCACCCAAAAATCGCTAATGATATTTAAAATAGCAACAAAAGTCATCATCTTTGTGTTTGACACCAGTTATATTAATTTAAGTAAGAATCTTAAAGGAACTGTGCCGTCACATAGTGTTTATTTTTATTTACTGCACTGTTTTTCTGAGCCTGACTCTTTCAACTTTTTTAGCATGCATGCTAGTTACAGAATCTACAAAATTATATTGATGATTAAAATGTTAAAATCCTGCAGCTCATAATTAATTAGTTTCCTAGGCCTTTGGAGAGTCCAAAATGATTGCAGATCAAAAGCAAACCAGGTTATATACATCCATGCTGGCTTATTGTGAAATAATCAGGGTTATGTAAAGCCTAAGAAAGACCACGTGAGTGATTGTAATATGTTTATCCTTTATTGGTGCTAAATTGAACTGTTTGGTAACAGTTTTTTATTTGTCGAAATGGTAGATGAGAAAATATGCAAGTACCTAAATTTGTAACGCAGTACCTTTTAATGTGTTCAGATGTATGTATTTAAGCCTGTTTTTAATGTGCTTTGTTAGGTCTCTGTTGTACTGTTGAATTTATATATATGCAAGTGAGAATAAAGTAAGTTATCTTAACCCTTTCACGCACGGTGGTCGCACTTTGAAACCACCAATTTTTGATTTTTTTTCCTCCTCTTCTTTACAAAAGTTTTGAGTGAAAATCAAGTCATTACTGATCTTTTACCTCTAAATGACACAAAATGGCTGCAGAATCATACATGTTTTAGGTCTTAGTATTTCAAATCGGATCCTTTTAAAATTCGTTTTCTATGAGACAACTTCCTTTTATTAATATAAACAACTTTTTAATTTTCAAAAGTTATTCGTCGCACATCATGATTTCTATCATAAGCAATAAAAAATAGCAATAATTAATTTGTATGTATCAAAAACGAATCTAAATTTATGGCATTTGTTTTGTGGTTTCAGGGCGTGACCACTGAGTCACTAGAGCTCACAATCTTCTAGAGGCTGGTCGTGCTTTGAAACCACTTCTCTTCACAATGGCGTTCACTGCTTTTCAAATAGTAGGAATGTTTATTTTTACCTGGATATAGATAAGGGGCTTTGAAACCACAGAGTTATTTTATTACTAAACAATATATGCACTTGCCCAGAGAAAAGATCTTTCTTTTCCAGAGATTTTTCTCTGACCCCACTTTCTTCCCAAGCTAATATTGTGATTTTATAAATTATTTCTTGTTGTTTAAATTCAATGTAAATATACTTTGCTATAATTAAAAATAGTAATCGCATAAAAGTTTTATTTAAATTAAAAATATTTTCTAAATATTTTGGGAAAAAATATGAATAAAATGAATATGAATGAGAAATTAATCATCCATACCAAAGCCAAAAAGACAAAGCCCTTTCCCCGTTAACATAAAAAAACCACAAATTTCATGTGCCAGATGAAGAGAAACTAAATAATGCTGGACATATACCAGTGAAATTTACATCCAGGCAATGTGCATTTTGTAGCACAAGGAATAAACCTCATAGAACAAGATACATGTGCGAAATGTGCAATGTGTGTCTATGCATGTACCAAAAAGCCAAAACATGCTTTGAACAGTGTCGCAAAAAAAATTTGTTCTTTGAAATTTAAAAAAAAAAAAAAAAAAAAACTGAGTTTTTTTTATCCTTACTTTTTTTAATCCACTTTCCAAATGTCCTTTTTATGTAGATACATATATTTTCACTGCTATAAGAAAATTACATAAATGTTTATTTTTTTATTTTTTCTGATGATTTACTTTGTAAAATAATGTAAAAAATTTACATATCGTGCAATTCTTACATAATTTTCTTTTTTAATTTGCAAACTTTGTCATTTATTGAAAACACACACGGAAAAAGGTAAATTTTTCTCCTACTACTTCAGTAAGTTTCAAAGTCCAAGACGCATGCTAGTTTCACAGTGCAACCACCACCCACAGAACAATGGACAAGAGTAGATTTTTTTTAATACATATATTATTTGTTTCTAGGATCATAATATTCAGTTTCTAGAGTTTTTAGTTAAAAAAATTATAAAATTAATACCACGTGTGTTAAAGGGTTAAATTGATTGATGAAAAAGAATTTAGAAAATGCAAAAAATGATGTAGTTTTCAAAATTAGTTAAAATGTTATCCTAACAATAGTATGAAGTCCAAGTAAGATGACAAATAGAAATTGCAAAATTAAAAATATGAAATGGTGGAGCATTTTATGACCTTAAGAAAAAAAAAAAAAAAAGTGTTTATTTATTAGCTCTATCAAACATTTTTTTTTTTTTTTTCAGTGTAAGTTTTTTAATTTGCTTCCTCCCCCTTCCCTTGTGCTTCTCCCTTGTCCTCTTTAATTCTATATATTGACTTAATTTCTTTTTCAGTTACAAAGTTCTATTATTCAAGTCCTGTAATTGCCATATCAAGAATTCCCAGTAAATTATCAATCAAAATGTTTTCTTTCTAAACAACCTCTCTGTTACTTTTTGCTGTTGGTAGCAATACTTTCTAGATTTAGACTGTATTACAGATTTTACTATCTGTTAGTTGACTGATGATTGGGGTATTGTCATTACAATGAAAGACTTCTATTATATCATTTTCATTTATTACCACCTCTCTATGTTTCTTCACAAATTCCATTAATTGGAAAATTTCACTTATTGTTTTCAGTATCTAAAACTTTCAAATTTGCAGCTATTATCATAAAGCCTAGCTAGCATCTACTGTATGCTGGTGATGTACAATGAGATTGCCTATTGAAGACATGTTTTTTGGCTAAATTTTATCTTGCTTCTGTGACATGTTTACGAAATTAATCTGTGACATGTTTACGAAATTAAGCATGGATTATATTACTTTGATTGTGTAATATACTTATGCTATTTCCTGTATACATAAGTCTCAAATAAATAAATTCCCACATATACGTGAGGCTTTTCCAAGGCTGGCATTAGACATTTTGTAGCTTGGTGCAGTTTCTGTAAGTCCAAAATTCTGCTGTAAAACATCTCCCTAAATTCTAAAAATTTTTTTACCTCTAATTTACATCCCAGTATTTTCGTTATATTTTAAAGATTTTTGTCATCACTTAATTTTGTTGCTCAATGCTTGTCTAAATTCTAAAAATATTACCTCCCTTAAATTCTGCCAGCTGTTGTGGCTGCACCAGCACTGGCACTAGTTCTGAGCTTATCTAAATAACAGATATTCTCAATTTAAATAGTATTAAATGATTGGCCTATGAGTATTATTTGTAAAATCTATTTTTTTTCACATGAAAAAAAAATATATATATCTGTTAAATTTGTCCTTGTCAACACGCTCAAACCTTTCCAGTATAATTAGTTGAAGTCTGTAATCATTGCCAAGGGTAATGTCAGCATAAAAAGTAATCTTGTTGTTTGGTATTCACTTGCTATTATCAATTGCTGCATGAGTTATTCCTCAAGCTGCCATGTGTTGTGTCATGTTGTGATGAGATCAAAAATAATAAACAAATATTTGCCAGGTTGACGTCAGGGATATAAGTTAGTAGTAGGTGCCAAATTGAGACAATTTTCGATTTAAGCTTAATGATAAAACTATGCCCCCCTTTAAATTAAATTCAGTAATGATACTGATACTGCAGTTGATCACTTAACTTCCATTTTAACAAATACTTTTTAAAAAGTATCAAAATCCACCTTTTTGCTCAAGTGTTTCTAAATTACATCCCAAGATTAGGTCCAAAATTTTTAAGAAAAATAAAGTAGGAAGAATTTGGCAAACAAGCTAGGAATCCTGACTTTAAAATTCAGTTTTGTACTCTCCAGAATAAGATCAAGACATCATGTGACCGTATCTACCAGTCACGATACAAAGAATATGTTCAGTTCATAATAACCAATGACAACACTCTTTGGCATGCATCTTCCAGATAAACAAAAAATACTCATCCCGTTAAGCTGTGGATGCAGTAGAGGCTCACACAGACACGGAAAAAGTCGAACTTATTGTTGACAATCTCCAAATGCAATTTACACCCTATAATGAAGGTATTTTTTCAAATAACACAACTACCTTGCCACAAGATATTATTGAAAGATTCCATAACTCCCTTTTTAAGAGAGAATTACAATATACTTCACTTTCACAGCTTAGCAAATCTATAGATAATCTCAAACCAAAGAAAGCACCTGAACTGGACTCTGTTTCAAATCATGTGATTATAAACTTCCCCACCAAATTTGTATTTTCAGTAGTAATGTTAATTAACTTTATGTTATTACATTGCTACTATCTGGAAAGCTGGAAATGTGCACTAATTTTTTTCTGAAATTAATTGGTGACAGTATGATTCATTTGCACTGTTTTCCACATAATAATTTCTTTATTACAGTATGTTTAAATCAATACTGTTCATCTTACATTTGCCAAAATTAATCATTTAGTCATTTTTATTTATGTATGTGTACTTTGTTCTAGATTTATGATCAGATGTCTGAACCTAGGTGGGTTATTTCTATGGGAAGCTGTGCTAATGGAGGAGGATATTATCACTATTCATATTCTGTGGTTAGAGGCTGTGATCGTATAATACCAGTGGACATATATGTACCAGGTAATATAACAGCTGTGCTCTTGTGTGTATATATATATTTTTTCTGTATCAGTACAAATAGGAAAGCATCTCTTTTCAAAATGAGAACTTAAGTCAATATTGACCAAATTAGTACAGTACACAGTCCATAATCCGGACCTGTCGGGACTTCTGCTATTCAGGATTAGGGGTTTCTCCGGATTATAGATCATTAATTTAAGTCTGGTAAGATGGCATGCAGAAATTACACAATTAAAATTATGAAACCGTAATTTATGAAATAAAGAGCAATTATGATCTAAAGGGTATCAAAATTTACAAAAGGTTAATATTTATTTGTTTACTCTATTAAACATTTCTTTCAATGTAAGTTGTTTAAGTTGCTTCGTTTTTTGTGCTAATACTTTGTCTTTAATTCTATAAACAAGTATAATTTCTTGTTCAGTTACAAAGTTCCACTGTTCAAGTCCTGTAATTGCTGTGTCGAAAATACCGACTAACTTGTCAATCGAAATTTTTTTTTTTCATTTTCAATAACCTCTCTGTCACTTTCTTCACTATTGGAAGCGCGCATGGGTAAACGCTTTACGCGCATGCGTAAACGCTTACGTGCATGTGTAAGTTTGTGGCTTTGAGATCTTGGACTTCTGGATTACGGACTTTTTACTGTATTTGTTCAGTATAAAGCAGAATGTTTTCTTCCGTGTATTCTCATAATCCTTTTCCTATGCTTTTATTATTAAAATTTGTTGAGGTCTTAGAAATATATTTACATAAAGATTCATACTGTTTTATGATAGTGATTTGTTCTTATTTCTTGAGTAAACATTCAGATGATAAGAATAATTTAACTTTTTTTTAAATTATATAATAATTACACTCAGTATCGTGCAGGTGTGCCAGCATGAAGAGCATTCATTTCCTGGGTGGTATACCAGCACGGCAGAGCATTTTCTTGTTCACTCTTGCCTGTCATCTATTTGTGTCAGATTATTGAAACATTTTAGAAATTAATATTTTTGGCACAAGATGGTGTTATGTCCTTAGGATCTGAAATATATGTAGACTTTCTACATTTATCTTTTACTTGAATTGAGACAAAGATGGTTGACATGCATTTGGATTTTGATTATATAAGCAGAAGGCAAAATGCATGTTCTTGACTCGCAGGATTCTTGATGGCTCTTTAAATGCGCACATTGTATTTTTTAGTGAATTTTATTATTACTTTTTTTTAATTTGGGTTAATTAATTGAACTTAATTTGAAATGTGGGAAGAAGGAAGGGTGCAGGTGCAGCCAGAGTGACATCAGCACGTGTGGATCGACGCATCCGCCGACAAGCTGTGGCGATTCCACAAGTCACTTGTACCATGATTTTGCAGCATGTGCAAGATACCTTGGATGTTCCCGTGTCAACCAGAATCATTCCCGGTCGATTGGTTGAACGTGGCCTACACTCACCACCTCTGTTAAGAACACTGTCATTGACCCCACGCCAAAGCTTAGAACGTTAGTGCCGGACTGGAGCGATGTGGATGACAGAATGGCGAAACGTCATGTTCTCAGATGAGTCACGCTTCTGTTTACTCAGTGACAGTCGCCGCAAACGTGTGTCGTGTTGATGTGAAGACAGATCTAATCCGGCAGTAACTGTGGAACACCCACCGCATGATGACGTGGCATAATGGTTTGGGGCACTATTGCCTACGATTCCACGTCACCTTTAGTTTGTATTCAGAGCACTATGGCGGCCCAACGATACTTGGATAATGTACTGAAGCTGGTGGCAATCCCCTACCTTCAGGGGCTGCCTAATGTAATTTTTCAGCTGGATAACGCCCGACCACGCAGTGCTCGCATCTGCCAACATGCTCTGCAAGGTATACAGATGCTTCCCTGGCCACCGTACTCTCCTGACCTGTCACCAATCGAACATGTGTGGAATGTGAATGGACGATAATTGCAGACTCTGCCCCTGCTTCGTTCAGAAGACGAACTGTGGCAAATGGTTGAAAGGGAATGGAGAGCCATCCTCTAGGACACCATCCGCACTGTTATTGACTCTATGCCTAGATGTGTTTCTTCGTGCATCACTGTCCACGGTGGTCCTACATCCTACTGAGCCGACGCTGTTCTCGCTCTGTATTCTGACTATCATTTTGAAATAAAGATCACTTATTGCTGCTTGCTATCTCTGTTTTTTTCCCAAATTTCATCACTTTCTGGCCAGTCTTTCTTGGTGTTGCATTTTCAATGTCAAGCAGTGTAAATATTTGTTTTGTTTCATTTTTATCACAATGTTCTTTGCTTTAAGGGATTAATATATTAGACTTGATTGTTTTCAAAAGTTTTGTGCTTGTTTTATTAAAATAATGTTTAGTCATTAATTAGATTAAAAATTTAAATTTCTATTAATTACTGTTAAAAAAGAGCAGTTTTGTGTTCAAAATGTAAATTTTGTAATACTTCAATATATCAGTAATTCTTCTTAAAATGAAGTAAAATGCTTTAACAATTGTATGTAGTTCAGAATGAAAGCTGTGTTTGCCTTATGCAATTAATGGTTTTGTTTTTATATTAAGGGTGTCCACCTACTGCAGAAGCTTTACTGTATGGTGTGCTTCAGTTGCAAAAGAAGATAAAGAGAATGAATAGTGTTCAGATGTGGTATAGAAAATAAACACATAACTGGAAATTGTAGGTTTAGAAATTTGTACATACAGTCAATGACAATGTTTTTCATTGTAGTTGATACAAGAAATAAATTTAATTTCAAAAACACTGGAATATTTCATGTATTATGTGAAGTTTTTGTCATTATTTGTTATTAAAGAAGAAAACATTAAAATTATATTCATCTTATGAAAATCCATATTTTAATAAAACTATAATTTTTATAACTTTAAACGATGTTGAGGAATTTTAAATACTAGACTGTGATGAATAATATATCTAAAGTGTCATGAGTCATGATATAAAGTTATTTCTAAGAACGGTATTGTTATTTGAGTATATTTATTGTAAAATACAAACTCAGCACATATTTAAAGCATACTGTAAAATAAACATTGCAACTGGAAACAGTATAGCATAATAACAAATCATGATCTGTAAAAGTGCCTTAAAAATTCTGTTTCAGTGACAGATTGCTAGGATAATGGTTCAGAATCCAAGAAATTAGTTATTTCCATTAATGGTTTTGGTTTATCAGGGGCTATTGATGAAAATTTCACCTGTATATGTTCAGAATTTCAGAAAGGTTCAGTGTTATTTCTGAAACCATCTATGTGTGATTGTATCAATTACGGAAGACGATTATGTTAATCAGATAAAAATCTAACGAACTGGCTGACAGCAAAAAACTTCTTTCTCTGTCTGTTACTCATCTTCTGTCATAAAAGCAGTGTGCTCCGGGATTTTTTGCTAATATGATGAGAAGTCAGTCCAATATGCCGAAGCTGGTCACATCATTGTCTGTTGCCTGCTGGTTTCCTGCAAAGCCTTTATCCATGTCAGTAATTTTTTGGAAGACAACATACGCATGAAACATACATAAAGATGACTAGGTAAAATGAAAGTCAGCCAGAGTTTTTACTTCTGAGGATATTTCACAGACATGGTATATATAAGCCTGTGTCATGTTGAGAAAAGTTACCTAATATTCAGGGTGGCTATTTTGATGAATAAATATTTTTTTTTTTCTTTTTCCTGCATCTGTTTTGCTTTGAAATTTTATCTAATTATCAGAGGCAATAATTTTTAGTTTCTCCTTGATATATATTACATTATGCAGTAGTATTAAGAGGACATGAGAATATCATATTTTATTTTCCTGGTGAAAATTTCGTAAGCTGATGAATATTTCAATAATTTGTTATACAGGTTGCCCCTGCCTGTTTTGACAGATAAGTTTACTTTATTTAAGATTTATTTGTTATTGCTTTATTTATAATTTTATTTAAGAACCAAAAATTTTAATAATTTGTTGAATTAGCCTTTGAATGGAATGGCTAAATTCATTTTGGTAGATTACTAGCATGAACAGTGGTTGAAAGAACCGATTTGCTTCTTAAAAAGCTTTCATTTTAAATGAAAAAATTATATATATTTATTTAAAGATAAATGCACTTTAAACATTAAAAGCAAATGCACCAAGGAGGAGTTATTCAAATGGGACGAAAACCAGTAAGTATGATATATTTTTACACTGTAGTATTTCACTTCATCTGTTAATGTTATTTAGTCAGCTAACCCTAAACTAGCATTATATCTGAAAAAAAAATGACAAAGCCATCAAAAGGTTTACAATAAAACATTTGATTTAAAAAATTTTATAACACAAAGGCACTTTCTTATGCTACAATATAACCACAGCTCATGATGATGAAACTAAATAGAACCGTCAAATTTAAACATGAAACAGTAGTCAAAGACTACACAACTAACTATTATACTAGAAGTTGGCTTATTACTTTATCAGAGCATCCGAATTAAAATGTTCACAGTGAAAAACGCAAAGCCAAATAACTAACTACAACTACCGGAGCTGGCAGGAAACTAACATGTAGCATGCACACAATGCCAGAAACATACTCTGTCTTAAAATTCAGAAACTCTGTTTTAAAATTCAAAGCAGTTTAAATACAGGCTACTCATTTGCTTCTGGTGAGGAATTTGAAGAGGAAAAGTTATAGTAGAGGCTGAAATTATAAAATAACTTGCTAATAAACATAAAATTCTCTATATTTTTTCTAATCAAAATTTAAGTAATTGCAGCAAAGTCTTTAATGACCTTGCTGAGATTTTTTTAAATTTTAAACCTACAATGTGAGCCAACTTTTACAATCATGAAGTTTAATGCCTAAAACTGAATTACAATTTTTACAGTTTCAATTTTTTTAGACAAATTTTCATGTCATCTTCATTTAGTTCAATCTTATCTCCTTTCAGGCACCTGAAAGGAAAAATAGCTTAGCAAAATATTTCACATTTCATATTTTTCCTACTTCCCATTTGGAACTTTATCACCTTTTTAACTTTTTGTTTCCTATAAACTCAATTTCTCACCCCTGCTGTCTAGCATTGCATACAAATGCATGTGAAAATGTCCCCAATTTTCAATAACTACCTGCTAACCCAAATCCTATATGTTAATAACTTAGACACAGTAGACCTCAGCAACATACTGCTATTTCAAGACAGTAACTACTGTTCGAAGCTTACTTATCATTAAATCTTATGTGTTTGCTGGAGAGCTTTTTAACTGCGTAAATTCACTATGCTAGCTTTCACTTTACTTCAGATCATTATCACCTGCTAGCTTTAAAAAAAAAAAAAAAAAAAAAAAAAAAAATAGTTAACACATTACTTTTACAAAATAATGAAACATACTTCATGAAAATGCATTTCAAAGTCATGTACATTAAAAAAATTACTCAGTTTGCACTTTGCATTGCAATGTACGTTGCTAGTATCTGTTCTGCAAGTATGCCAAAAACATTTTTAACACAGTCTCTTGGACTGTATCGTGTTATAATAATCAGTTTCATTTTTATACTAAAAATAAAATCCTACGAGATAATAAGCATAATTAAATTAAAGAGCTCTTGCTGAATAAAATCTAGGTTGTCTTCATTTGAGGTAAAACTCAACATACATAGCAACTGTTGTACTGAGAGATAACATCAACTGAATATTCAAAGAAAATAACTTAAATTTCACTTACCTTTATTTGTTTGAACCCGTCCATTTGTTTTTGCAGAAATTCCTCACTGGCCGGGGAAAAGTTTGTGTGATGAATCCATAGTTTCCTTGTCAGCCATTGATTTCATGTCTTGTCAACTAATAGTTTGACAAAAACCTGTTTGTAACTCGGTTTACCGATTGTCTTTTGGAATAAATATATAGTTAAAATGTAGAATATTTATGTAATAATAAGTATGTATGCAAGATATAATTTTTTATGAAAAACGTAACTGCTCTTTTTTCTTCCGTAAAATTCACCAAATGCACCAAAGTCGCTGCTATAATATAATATGTAAGTATCATCCGATGCATCTGCCGAGATTTCTTATTTGGCGTGAGCTTCAGGAAATTTCAAGATGGGTGTTTGAATTTATGCCATTTTAAATCTTTCAAATGTCATGTCTGCCGACCACGTGACTATGGCATTTTTCTTCGTCTTTAATAGTGGCTTAGCTGTATGAGCAAAATCTTTGATGGAAGTCCTATAATAAGAGCACAAGTCCGAAAATGAAACCAACTCTTTGAAAGGTAGCTGGTGCTCCACAAGAGACGAATGGCATTCTAAGACAAGCTGAAACTTCTGATTTGATAATAAATGTGGTTTTTGCCACATTCTCTGGTTTCATACATATCTGAAAGTATCTAGAGCAGTGATGGCGAACCATGGCGTATGTGCCACACTCGGTATGCAGAGCATCATCAGTCGGCATGTGAGTAAAATATGCAGATAAGTTTTAACACTTTATTGTTAAATAGATTTCAGTTTTCAGATCTAAGCATTTTGAGGTAACTTATGAATAATTTTAATTTAATATCTTAAAAGGAATGTACAAATATAATGTAAAATCATGCAGTTTGATAATATAGCAAAAACATGAAAGCTTAGTAGGGAAACCAAGCTTATAACATGCACTCAGCCAAAATAAACCCAAAGCCGAAAAGGAGCATATGAAATCTTAAGTTTAGCAAAGAGGTATCTGGTTTAACGATTACTGCTGTTCTGGTCTTGAACAGTCTAATGGTCTTGAACCCTCATAAATGACTCCACCAAAAAGTCAAAATTAAACATTGATAGTGGAAGATCATTTCAAGAGACCTGAAGAGAATCATTTAAAATTATTGAACACAATAGGAAAGCATTATGCATTCTGAGCGTTGATAGTGATGTCTTGTCATACATCTAGTGTCAGACACCAATCACAAGATTGTTGTTAATTTTAAAATTTCATATCTAAAAATATATCGGTTACAAACTTCCGACATTTTTACAGCTTATAAAACAAACGTTTCGCATTTAAAAAAATGATACAGGAAATTAATTGGATGTTTTTTTTACTTTTTTGAAAGATGTGCAATGAAGGAGAATGGGAAATATTGGTTCTTCTTGGGCATCAATTCGAAACATTGGTTTCAAAGTAATAATCTCATTAAACCACACTATTTTTATGACATTATTTATGCTATATAAGTTGTTATTGTTGCCAATTGTTAGTTCAGCGTTAGATTGGAGATATTTCTGAGTTAACTTTCTCTTAAGATGCGTTTTGCATTCCTTTGTGTTTAACATTCTTATTTGATTAAAGCATAACTACTGATTATACTTAGTGATATTCTAAACACTTGTACGAGTATTTCTGTGGAAAATTCCAGAACTTTGAAGTGTTTCCGTTGATAAAATTAATTTAATTAAGCTAGCATCGGATTTGAGTGCAATGACAATCATTTACGAACTATTATCAATCTATTACAAACCCGTACGCACGCAATAATATTATAATTAATTAATGTATTAAATTGTTTTGAACGTGTTTTACAAAACAAAAACAGGTAAAGAAAAATTCTGCTTGCATTTTATGAGATTTTGCAATTTTTCTGGCCACATAAGGTTTTAAAAAAAGGTTTGTAATTTATGTTTATATTTACCAATTAAATAAATAGCACTACGTTTGATTTTTATATATATATGTGTGTGCTGAAATTCAGTAATAAAATTTTAAAGATTTGAAATCATTAAATGTTTATTTAGACAGTTTGTATTCTTTAAACTACAAATGCAAACTGAGAAACCTTTTGCATTTTTTTCAATAAATCCTTTTACTTAAAGTCCTAAAACATATACAGGTATGGACTAATTTTTTTATTATTTTTACTGCTTATTTAAAATTATATACTTTATAGAAACAAGGATGGGTTTTGCAAAATACTGAAAGGAAAAAATTATTTGAAATGAAAATGTGACTGAGATCATATTTGTTTTAAAGATTTTAGATAAGAGTGTATTTTTTTTCTCAGAAACTAATTCATTAATTGCAAAATCATTCCTTGAAGTTATTAAGAACACTCTAATAAATACAATAAAAAAACTGGGGGGAGACATTGAAAGTTGTAGGAGAAGAAAAACATTTTAATTGTAAAATTTTTCTTCAAAAATTTAAATTAAAAAAAATACTAGCAAAAACTTTTTTCAGCTTAAAATTATTTTGTTTCACAAAACCATTTAATAATATTCATAAAAAGTAGATGAAAATGCTTAAATTTAAAAAAAAAAAAAAAAAAAAAAAATCATTCAAAAGGTACCGAGTCCCTTGTCGCGTTGAAGCCGATATGCACTTAACTTTAGTTTTAATTTGAACGATATTTCTGGAATACCTAGCATCAGATAACGCTGTCTGTATTTGTCTATTATTTGCGTATCTTGTACAGTTCTATCTAATTCCCCAGACATCTATCAGCGCGATTGTTTCGCTGACAGTCCAGCGAGCAGTAAGTAAAATTAAGTGAACCGCGCAGTATAGTACGGGAAATCTCCCCATTTGCCCTGCTCCCGAGAGGTAAGGAACATTCAAATAAGTTCTACCTCCAATTCGGCGAGGCAGTTAATGCTTGTCCCATGTGAACGGGACGCGTAATGGCAGACCGCACATTGAGTTGAACAGTGTTAAACGAATGTCGCATACTGCGCATGCGCAGAAACGAATTTGGCGTAATTATTATGTTGGCGCGATTTGAAAAGAGGATAAATACGGTATGTGGTAGATGTACCGCCATCTGATTGTAAACAAATCCGGCGTTTAAGTCTTCGTAGAGTATATGTGCAATGTAAAGTAATTACTGTGTAAAATTAGATTTTTTTCTTGTACTGCTCCAACAACTATGGAAAGTTGAACGATACGATCAAGTTTAAATTCGATTGAAGAGTGCAAAAAATGGGTAAAGGAAGTCGGCGTAAATGCAGATGCTCCAGTGGATAGCGCGAGCTTCAAACCAAATGCTATTGCAAGATTGCTTTCAGGTATGTATATATTTTCCCATTTCAGTAAATTTGATATGTTATATGTGCAATATGTGATATATTGTATTTTAACACATATACAGTTCATTAACATTTTTAACATTTCCTAAATTTCTATATAATGTAGCATTAAGAAAGATGTTTTAAGAAATAATTTGTTTCCTTACTGTTTTAATTTTTTCGAAAAGAAACATCATTTTCGAGAAACTTCAAGAAGAAAGTTATTAGTATGTACAGCGTAATTTTATTACAGCTAAAACTGATGCAAGGTACTTGAGTCTTTTATCTCAAAATGTGCTGAAATGTTTTGGTTGAAGTTAATATGATATAAAATAATGTAATGAATTGTGGTATAACTGTAAAGAATTGGTAAAAATAAAATATAATTAGTTCAAATTTACTTAACTCCTTATATTATCAAATATCTATTGAATAGAAAAACCTGTTGAAATATTAAATGTAACAAGTTCTATTTTTAAAAGGCAGATGATTGTACAGCATGTAGGAATTGATGATGATTTTTAATAATCCTAAAGTAATAGTAAAGTCAACAATAAAGTATATTTTGATGTATGTAATTTTCATCAATGATTACATAACATTGCACTTTAATATAAAGTATGCTTGGATTGTTTTCATGTGTGCTATATATTATTGCAAATTAGTTCTTCATAAAATTGTATATTTCTGCAGTGAAAAAGTATGTTGTAGGAAAAGTATGTTGTAGGATCATGCAAGTTGTAGGAAAACATGTACGTGTACTGCACATGTACCAGGAAGACAAGATAACAATCTGTCAATCATCATTTGCTGACTGTATCTGTCAAGCTGACTACACAGACTATAGTAGCCAAATATAAGTTGTAGAAAGTGTGTTTCAGAGTTGAATATATGAATTAAAGTTAGTAGGATAATTATTCTTAACTAAATAGTAAAATTTAAATAAAATAAAGATAAAACCCCTTATTTCATTTTTTTATAAATTCTCTTACTATTATGATGTGATTTCACAACCATTGACTTTCTCCTATTGTTAAATAATTCATTCAGCACTGAACAACATATTATTTTATTGGTATAAAAAATAATATATTTTGTGTGTATGACCAAGTTATGATCTAAGATTTTTCAATACTTGAATCATCCTTTTAAAGATTTTTATAAAATGATTTTTTTTTTTTAAATTTCAGGCATTGGCACAGTGAATGGCAGCTGAAAAATTTTGACCCTTGTTTCTGGAAGTGAAATGTTAGATGTAAGTAATGATGTCTGAGACCCTTATCACACGGCATTTGTTTCACATGAACAACTTGTTTCGGATAATTGTTCTGCCTGGTTTACTATTGAAAGAAAGACATGCGACTTTTTCCTTCCTTTCTAAAAAAATTGCAAATTGTTTGTTTTCAATCAATCAGCTATCAGCTTGTTTGTAATGGAGAACCAGTTTCCCATGTTAACCCCAAAGTGATCTATGATAATTGGTTGTTGTGACAAACATTTGTTCTTCCGAAACAAACCGACGTGTGATAGCATCCTTACTGTTAATAATACTGTGAAGCACTTAATTGTATGCTTTGCTAATGAATATGTACTAGGCAATTGTGGTTATTATGAAAGAGGTGAAATTTCAAATACAATTGTTTCAGTTACAATTATTACAGATATTATTTAATTTTGTAATAATGCTAATTAAAAATATGAATTAAGAAAATGCAAAAATTAGTGTATAAGCATACTAAGTAGTTCAGAGTAAGACTTGTACTTAATTTATAGTAGGCACTCATTCACACATATGATGACTCGTACACTGATATAAATTTAGTATGCTTTTATACTGTTTACATGTCTTCTATATTCAGATTTGAATCATCATCTGCCAACAAATTCAGTTAATCAGGCATTGTTGACCTTATTAGTTTCTTGCAGATGTGTGAACTTTGGAAACATTTTTTATATTTAGTATAGTTTTTGTTTGCTTTTTAGGTTTTCACATAATATCAACTAGAAACATTACCTCTTCATTTTAAAGGTCAAAGAGATAAAAAATAAAAAAAAAAAAAAAAAAATTAGTTAATATCATACCTAAAATGTTCTTTTATTACACAACTATTATTTAAGCCATCCAAATGGGCGCAATATTTTTATAATACTTTTATTTAATTTTCCAGTATATGTTATTGAAGCCATTCAAATCCCACTTGGGCATTTTCAAGCATATTAGTTGTTGAATATTATGTCTGACTGTAAACACACAGGCAAAGTATGTATAATTATTATGTAATTTAACCTATCTTTCCTTCAAATATTTCTTTAAAATTACAGGAGACAGGCATACATTTGAGCTTTGATTAACAGACTTAGTGTAGTCGCCATGACGGATAAGAAAACAGATGAATAATAGACCACCCATAATCACCAACATATAATGCAAGGATTTGAGAATAAAGATTGCTTATTAGCATAATAGTGCACTGAATATTAGATATAAAAATTATAGAACTGAAAGATTTGTCACGTATCATCTTTGCTTATTATTATATATATTGAAAATAAACAGTTTGCTTCTGCAACAGAATAAATATCGAGTGTCTTGAAATGTTTTGTATACCTGGAGCTTTACAGTTCAGTACATTATACAAAGAGCAGTATATATAATGATTATCAGGTCTGCACAGAAATTTTTAATGGAAAATTCTTGTGTATAGATTTAGTTGATATTTCGTATCTTGTGTACAGATTTAGTTGATATTTTGCAAGACACGGCAATATTTCAGACTTTTATTCTAATTACTGTGACAAAACAATTGTAGTATATTACATTATGTAGCTTATATTAATAATTTTCATACGTGTATATGTAATATTTTGGCAGGCACAGGAATGACCAAAGCTTGACAATATAACTACATCATAGGCCAGGCATTGTTATGGCTGGATAGAAGGTTGCAAAATGACGACAAAGAAGGATTTAGCTTTTTAGATCCCACATCTTTATTCAATTCTCCCAGCAGATCATTTTGCCTTTAGATGAAATTCTCAAAATTATATATTCAATATTGATTTAAACTAAGTAAGATTAAATTTAGACTTTACGTCATATCTGCTTTAACAAAAGAAAGAACAAGATGGGAGGAGCAGCTGCAAGGTCTTGTAGCAGTGGTAGAAGAAAGCAGTCGGACGAAAAATGGCACGTATTCAGTATGTGTACTAGCGGTTATATAACATGCCAGAATGTTCTCGAAAGTACTGGTCTAGGGTAAGATCCTGAAACTGCAGTAAGTTAATTATAGGTTATGTGCTCGCGCAGAGCAAAACCACTGTATTTTCTATATTTTACATGTATGTAATACATATTCTATGTGTCTTGGTGAATACATTCTACCTCGTAATAGAAACTGACGATCAAAAGATTGATGAATATTTAATAATTTTGATGAGATTATCTAGGAAAGTAAAATAGTTTAAAACGTATTAAATGTGGTTTTCCAGAATGTTTCCTAGCATAGTTTTTAATCTCAGACTAAATGATACACATTATCTGGAAGTTCATATTCTTGTGTCATAAAGTATGCTTTATTGTAATTAGTCTTAGATTGTAAAGTTAAATTTATGAAAATATGATGAGTTAAAAATGTATTGCAGATATTAAACTAGATTTTAATTATATGCAATTTTGAAATTTTAGAGATCTTGCTTCATGTAATTATTTTTAATGTTTTTATTAAATTCTTAATTAATGCTATTATGCATGCATTAGAAAGTGAAATGAAATAATACTTAGGGATATCATTTGGCTGCATTCTGTTGTTTCTCAGTTAAACTATTCTGCATTCAAAAAATTACTCAAGGATTCTCACGAATACCAGCTCAAACAGTTCCAAGTATTTCTGCAAAATATACGTAATTACTTAAGAATTGTATCTTTTTGATAATATTTTTTAGCCTTTACAAGTTACTGCCAAAATTATTTTGTAAATCAGAAATCTTCGAGGGGATTAGTGTGTCTCGCATAGTTACCCTGGTGCCACACTATAACACTGAAATTGATAGATGTATAATTGAATGTTTAATCAAAAATGTCTAATTCCTCTTTTATGATATTTCAATAATTGATACTACTGAAACAAGAAATATTGGTACATTAACATTTTCTTAATATTCATTGTGTATTTGTTTATGATGCATGTATTAATGTCATTACAAGTTAGCATTTGGTAATGTTTGTTTCAACAATTTAGGGTTTGATGAAGTGCCACAGAGATTATCGCTTAAAGAATGCGTGCAGGCCAACCACCAACACAAGATATTAAAAGAGCAATGAAAATGAAGATTTAACTATAAGGAAAAATCTGACTAATATTATTACTCATAACACTTAATTGTTTCATATTATTGTAAATTTATGCGAGTTTTCCTGTATTCTGTTTATTTTGCAACTTATGTTATTGTAAATTCATGTATGTTTTCATTCTTGCTCTGCATTTCATACAATAATCGTTTGTTGTGCATATTAATTATATGTGTATATTAATTACATCATTGAATTACTGTATTTGAATTTTAATAAACCTTTTTACCATTCAGTAGTACTTTTCCATAAAACCCTGAACATTCTAAACATCCCATATCACTAATCCTCGATTCTAAATAATGCTTGAGTTTACTTAATTCATGTATTAATAATGAATTTGAAAAATAATACAATAGTAACATATTTTGAGGTAAAACAAATACTGCTCAATTGGACATTTTAAAATGTTTTTTTCTTTTTAATAGAGGAACATTTTTAAGGATTTAATAATTAGTATTTGAATATTGTATTAATATATGATTAATAAGTATATGAATATATTGTGTGTAATGAATAAGTAAGGCAGTGAATAAATTTTGAACAATAATTTCATATGAGGAAATATGATCTGCCTGGGTTAAAAAAATTAATCTTTAAATGCTATTTATGAGATTATATGGCTGAAATCTGCAGGCCAAAAGCAGTTGAAGCAACCCACCCCCAAAAAAGAAGACATTTTAAATAGTTTCTTCCAAAACTTGAAATATTTAAACATTACACGACCCTAAATTTCTAGTGAATTTAAAATACTCATTTCATTCAGTTCAGCTACTGGCCATTATATGAAATTTTCCTATGTTATTAAAATGTTCCTCATGATTTTGCAAGGTGAAGACCACAAATGTTCTGCCCTCATAACTAATGATGATATAATAAGCATGAAGTAGACTTCAGCGTAAGGAATATGGAACTATATATTTTGCTCTTTGTTTATTAATTAGCTCACTTTTAAAAAATTCATATCATATAGTAAGGGATTGGGATTATTCAATTATGGCAAAGCACACGATGGTCATCTGCCTAAAGGGAAGGGTGCCTTCGTGGAGGACATTCTAAGGGAAACTGGCTCGTATACATGTTACACATGGGGAAAACCACGAAAACGCCCATGCAGCCAGCCCGTTCGCGGGATTCGAACCTCGGATCGAACTACCAGTGTTCAGCGTGTTTACCGCTCGGCCGCTGGTGGGCTTATCATATATAGTAAGTAATATTCATAATTTTTCTCATTTTCTTAATATTTCATTGAAGTATTTAAATGTTAATTTAATTAGCAATACCTAATAATGTCAAATGCATATATTGTTATACAGAATGGGATTCTGACCATAACACTCGGGCAAAGTGATATACATGTTAATTTTTCAACGAGTTTCTGCGTTATGCTTTTTACTCTCTACACAGTGTTTAATTTTTAATTATTATTTTTTATTATTTGTAGGACCTGACTTTCTTATATTATTCAACAGGAGATCTATGTTCACATCTTATATTCTGAATTTACAGTTTTCTTTTGTAGATGACAGACACCATATATTCAAAAGAAATTAACATGCTGCTGGATATATGCATGTGTTTTTCATATTTACAGCTGTTGCATGTGATGTTATGTAATCAGGTAAAAAATGAAAGAATTAAGTTTATTGACACCAAAACAAATGCATACTTCGATATAAAGGCTGCATAAAAATGAAAATGGCTAAATTAAAATAGTGAATTGAGGTTGTAGAGTTCTCATTTATTTTTATTAACCAGCTATTTTATGATAATTAGCTTTTCTTTCTTCCTTTCCATTTTCCTGCCAGAATGCTAATTTTGAGTGCATTCGAATGAGGTAGAAAGCAGTAGTATTGAAAGGAAGAGGTTTTAGGTGGTAGAATCTATTTGAATATCATACTACAATATTAGGTCTGAGATAATTTGTGCAGTTTCTTTCTGTGTAGCCTTCAGACTAAAATTTACTTAGTTGAATTCATTTCATTACTTTTGATTTACGCCATAAATGCTGGCTGATTCTGTATGAACAAGCTGTGCACTCTGTTAATTTGTCCGAGTCTATAAAAGGGTTTTTTTACACCTATTCCAAACCTATGTTGTAATTTCCAAAACATAACGAGAAGTCGCTTAAGTTTTCCAGAGTTCTCACACAGTATATATTACCAAAGTGGGTGAAACTCGTATAAGGTGTAAGAAAGACCGAAAGGAGATTTATTAAATCAAGAAAAAGTAATCGGTGGAAAGGGCATGTAATCTTAATAATGAAAAATCGAATTTTACACCAAATATTCAAACTTTTGTAAATGTTTTATATTTAATTAGCGAGAGTTAAAAATAAAAATTACCTTTATATTCATAACATAGGTTACATTCTGTTAATTTCCCATAAATAAACATAAAGAATATATTGACAAAATCATTGTACTAAGCTATTTTGGTAAAATAAAATCTACTATTTTCATTGTACTTCAAATTTAGGTTGTTTTCATGAATACTCCATCGCTTGAGTTCCAACTAGTTAGACATTGACTACCAAAAGTTAATCATTTGTATCTTCTATAGTAAAATATGGGCATACCCAATATCATCCCATTCGGATAACTCCTCCTTTGTGCGTCGCTTTTTATGTTACAGAGTGTATTTTAAATTACTGAAATTTGTGTATAGTTTAATGGCTCACTTTTTTATTGATAAAGAATACCATTAATTATTTTTTAGATTTTTCATATAATAAAGGCCGAAATATCCTGTTATTAAGGAAGTTTGTCATTAGGAATATCTATAGATGTTCCTTTAGTCTTGTTAAATTGTGCACAGTGGTGTCTTGAGGTTGTGAATGGTTTGCTGGAGTGTCACAAAATATATAAGTTTTTTGGTCGAATGATATTTAGTGCATGTTGTTTTAGAATTTGACAAATGATGTGTTAGTGCTATAATACCTTGCTGCAGTTTTTCATTTGATAGAGGTTTCAACCACCATTGAATACATATTAGATAATACTAAACATAATATTTGTGTAAACAGGTTGTTTGCAATTGAAAGCTGTTACGGTACAGATTTAAGAATTTAATTGTGATTATCTACAGGTGTATGAATTCGAATGAAATACAGAGAAACGTGCTGTTTAAAAATTAAAAGATGATTCACTTTTCTGTAGAAATACATATGCTTAAGTCATTTTTTTTTTTTTTTGAGAAAATTCACAATGGATATGGCTATGTAATCTTGCAGACTTATGACAGTAGAAAAATTTGGAATTATAAAAATTATATCATTGAGTTCAAGGGGAAAAAAGTTGTTTGCTTAAGCAGTTATTCAGTTTTCAAATTTTTTGTGTTCTGATGTAAACAACTTAAGCAAATTGTTTTCCTGAGAATTTCATGTGATGTTAATGAAGTATGGAGTTTTTCCAAGTTGTTGAAATGGCTGACATGTTTAAGGCATGGAATTTACAAAGTAATTCTTAAATAGCAGTTTTTACCACTCCTCCAGAAGATCGCTTTCTCTAACTTTCAGACTAGTTGAGGAGTCACTGTCCAAACTGCAGTATGCATCCTTAGAGTATTCCATGCTATATTGGATTCAGGTAAGGTGAACATGTTAGCCACACCATATGCTCGATTTCCTGACTAAAAGTCATTTTTCTATAGGATGAATTCTATGATATTGACCATTATCATCCGTTAAAAGGAACGTATTGTAAATAGCAGCATCAAAATCAAGATTCAATATCTCTTTCTTGTACCTTAAATCTTTCCGACTGCCATTCTTAATGATAGGCAGATAAGCATATCCAGCTGTTCTTATTCCTCCCCAAACCACTTTTACCATTCACTTTTACCTTGTGATGTTTTGCTTTTTTGTGTTATATTTTTCGTGTGAAGATACAGTGATATATGGCTCCAGAGTGTTTTACGCTTAAGGGAACAGAAACTACATGTCTACATGCATACAAACCATACGGATGAAAATGATTTCATGCAGTTTGTATTGACAAATTTTATCCTCTAGTGCGGAAAAGCTTCCTTTGTAGGTAAGGGGCATTTCTTGTTCTATTTCATCAGGCTGACAGACTTTTGATTCGATGTTTACAGACTAGATTTGAGTTAGTTCTTTAAAAATTAACTAAAACTGGCTGCACTTAATACAAATTAGACATTATTTGCTTGGAATACAACTTTTGATTGACAGTATTGAATAAGGATTTATACCTTATCTTTCTGCACTACCCGGCATTGAAAGTGCAGCACTAAGAAAGAGTGGCCTGGAGATTAGGCAAATTTCAGTGTAAACGCACGTCACTGAGTTATGCGAACGATGTGAAATGTGCAGCTCTCCAGCGCACGTTGAAGAAGATAAAAGGGAAGGAACTTGCAGAATGTTCAATTTTCTTGCCGTTATTTCTGCTGGGGATGTTATCGTAGAAAATTTATTGTCTCAGAGGACACGTGTAATAGCATAGAATGCCAGGCCGTCGTCAATGGAGGCTATTCCAGCAGACAGGGGATTTTACGAGGGCATGGTAATCAGTCTGAGAAGGGCAGGTTTGTCCATTCCGCAAATCTCAGCTGACACACAGCTGGAGGCGTCCACAGTACACCGGCTGTGGCGATGGTGGTTAGAACAAGGAAATGTGTGCAAGTTCGAGAAATGTCGGTGCAGCCAGAGTGACGTCAGCACACGTGGTGTAGCCGCAAGCCACTTCTACCTCCATTCTGCAGCATGTTCAAAACACCCTGGATGTTCCCATATCTGCCAGAACCTTTTGCCGTCGATTGGCGACTAAAGACCTGCACTCGTGGCTTCCGATAAGAAGACTGCCATTGGCTCCACATCATAGACAACAATGTCTGCTGTGGCGGCGAGCTCGAACGATATGGACGAAAGAATGGCACAGGGTCGTGTTCTCAGATGAGTCACGCTTCTGTTTCTCCAATGTTAATCGTTTCATACGAGTGTGGAGTCGATGCTGAGACAGGTCCAATCCAGCAG